TATTATATTATATTATATTATATTATATTATATTATATTATATTATACAATTTAAGATCTGGTACAGATAGGCCACCTTCCCTTGCATTTCTTTTCATTAATTCCCTTGATATTCTGGACCTTTTGTTCTTTCCAGATGAATTTTGTTATCATTTTTTCTAGTTCTATAAAATACTTTTTTTCTTCTCCACTTTTCAAAACTCAACAGGATCATCTAGTTTTTCCTCCTTCCCTCCTGTCTCATTCCTAGGGCTAATTGTTCTTCATCTTCCTACCTCTTGAAGACTTTGCTCCATCAACCATCTTCTTCATATGCATCTTAGATCTGCCTCTTCATTTGAAGATGCCTACAAACCTGTTTGGCTTCTCCCAGTCATAAAGAAGCCTTCCCTTTACCCTTCTATTCATCTTTCTTCTTATATTCATCACCAAACTTCTTGAAAGAGTTGTCTACACTGGCACTCTAATATATTGTTGGAGTTGTGAATTGGTTCAACATTTTGTAAAGCAATTTGGAATTATGCCAAGAAGTTACTAAAATGTCCATATCCTTTGACCTAGGGCCCTCACTGCTAGTCATATACTTCAACAAGTCAGAGATAGAAATACCCTATATTCATCAAAATACATATAGGATCAGGGAACTGGAAACAAAGTAGATGCCTATTGATTGGGGAATGGGTAAGCAATATTATATTATTATAAAGCAATATTATCACACCATAAGAAACAATTAATATAAAGAGTATAGAGGAACATGGTAAGACCTATATGAACTGATGCAAAGTGAAGTGAGTAGAATTAAGAAAACTATGCACAATTATTCCAACAACATAAATGGAAAAAACAGCAGCTAGCTTAAACACCTAAAACCCACTTCAAGGGATCAAGCTAGACTCAGGAGAGATGAGAATGTACTACCTTATCTTTGCATAAGTGGGGGACTGTAGGTGTAGAGTTTGCATATGCTATCACAGGTGATGTGTTGGTTAATTTTGTTGAACTGTTTTTCCTCGTTTTATAAGGGATAACTCTCTGGGGAGGGGAGGGGGAGACATATTTAGAAGCCAGAGTTAGAGGGAAACAAAAGATATCAATAAAAATTGAAAAGATAAAGTTATCTATAATTGATGCTTCCCCATCCCCATTACCCTTTTTTGGTTACCTTTTTGTTTATCACATTTTGTTTCATTTGCTCTTTTCTCAAGCTCTGGTAGTCTTATTTCTTCCCTGACATTTTATTGGTTGTTCTTTCAAAGGTCACCTAATTCCAATGGCTTTTTTTCAAGACTCATGCTTTTTAACTTCTCTAGGTCATCTGACACTGTTTCCTTCTACCTCCTACTACATAGCCCTCTGTTTCCTTACTTTCTGAGCCACTCCACTCCCTTGTTTATTCTCTTATCTCTCTAACTGATCTTTTTCTGTCTTCTTCACTAACTCTTCATCCCATGCCCCTGAGGGCTTTAAATAGCAAAGCCCTGGATGGATTTTTGAAGTTTAAGAGTGAGAGATTGCAAGGTAAAAGCTATTTCAGGGAGATCTTCCCACAGGGAGGAAAGGGGAAATGTCTTTCTCTTCTCCTCCAACATTTGCCACGTATCTTTGAAGGGGAGCTACAAGGAACTTAACCACTGATAACAGAGAAGATATTGGTATATTAAGAAAGCTTCACATGGGAAAGCGTGGTGGAGTGTTTATAGTGGAAGATCAACAGAAGAAACAACAGAAGAAAGAAACAAACTCTTCTGTCCCATGAATGTACTGTAGACCATGTGGATAGAAAGGAGTAAATAAGTTGTTAATAAAGCTGGTGAGAAGCAAGGCACAGAAACATGGTATACTAGTGATGGGAAATGTCAATTATCCAGATGTTTTCCGGAGCTTTTTCTTTCTCTACTAATAATAGTCTTAGCTAGCATTTACATAGCATTTTAATGTCTGCAAAGTGCTTTACATAAGTTCTCATTTGACCTTCACAACAACCTTGAGATAGAGTATTATTATACCCTTTTTGTCGATGAGGTAACTAAGGCAGAGGTTAAGTGATTTGGCCAAGGTCACAGTGTCTAAAGCAGGTTTTGAACTCAGGTCCTCCTGACTCCAATTCTAGCACTGTATGCACAAAACCACCTAGTTACCTGTGTAGAGCAGCTAATAACTTCTTGACTTGCCTTAAGGATAATTTCATCCTTCAAAGGTGGAAAAACCAACAAAGGGAAATATTATATTGGATCTGATTACCCCTAATATGGAGGGACGGGTTCCTGGGGGAAAAAATTATGAGGCAGAGGGAATTGACTACTCCTTCCTAAAATTTATGATAAAGGGAATGAAAGATGGTCATAATAACATGCACTCTAGATTTTGTGGGAACAGATTTCAAAAGTTTGGAGTAACAATGGGTAGGATCCCATAGACTAAAACTGTAGAAGTTAGCCCAGGAGGAGTAGAAAATTCTCAAAAATGAAATTCTGAAAATATAAGGGAAACAATTCCAATAAGGAGAGAAAATGGGATTTGTGCAGAGAAAAAGATGTGAATGCACATAGAACTCACCAACCAACTTAGATTTCTATAAGATTTGTACAGAAGGTGGCCAATGATAGAAGATGGATATGAGTGTAAACCAAGGCAAATGCTCTCTTGAGGGAATTTCCAAAGGGAAAGACACCTAGAGGATGCAAAGGCCAGTTCTCAAGATTTAAACCCCCCTTTTTCCCAAAGGGAAGAAAACCAGAGAAAGAAGATGTCTATGAAATTAAAGGTTTTTATTAGGCAGGGAAGGGAAAAATAGTAACAAGCATGAGTACTATCCAGCCTGTGCTAAATAGGATGTCAGGTAATGGATGGAAAGAGTTTGTATACCTTTTAACCAAAGGAAGGTAAGGAATTTGGGGGAAAGGTAGGTTTAGAAAGAAATGAGTCAATGGGCTTCATCTCCAAGGGAGGGGGAGTGAGGAATTCCAGGTGTCAGAACTGTAGCTCTTTGATACACAAATCAGAAGACATCCTTGGTAATAAGCAGTCCATAGTTCAAAGCTTGATAGGGAGATGTCTCCAAAAACAGGATAATTCTGAGATGATTCCCATAACCAAAGTTAGAGGTGTCTCTGGAGATAAGGTTGTCTCCAAAAAAACTGTAGAACAGAATATGTCCATAGTCTCATAACCTACAGTCAGGAAAAGTCTTTGAAGATAGGAATGTCTTTTGAAGGTCCATAGACCACCAAATGACTCAGGGTCTGCTTCAAAGCTGGTATGAGCTTAATTGACTTCAGAGTTGCTGATTTTCTGCACATCTAGTTAGGTTTAGTCTTGGTCACTACAAAGGATTGTTGGTATGTCAAATCATTCTGTTTCTTAGTTAATATAGCTAGTCTTCATATAGCTCTTCTTGGTTACCTGGATAATTGGGGAGCTCAATTAAGTCAAGGAAGTTAATATACTCATTTACAGATATACTCATATAAGAGTATGACATGGTTCTATAAAACTAATATCAAGAATGCTGAAACTCAGTATGAGCTGAATCAGGTGAGGGAAACCAGGGATGAAAAAAAGATTGGTTATTTTTTTCCTTAAAAAAAATATATGTATATATATATATATATGTTGGGGGCAGCTAGATGGCATAGTGGATAGAACTCTGGCCTTGGAGTCAGGAACACCTGAGTTCAAATCTGGCCTCAGACACTGGACCTGTACTAGCTGTGTGATCCTAGGCAAATCACTTAACCCTGACTGCCTCACCAAAAAGCCAAAAAATTAAAAAATTTAAAAAAACCCATATTGGGAAAAACAGAGGATCAAAAGGAAAAGTGAAGAATCAAGATCCTTAAAAGAGGATTTGCTTGGAGTTGAGGGTGATGATAGCTAACAACAGAGAGATGGCATTCTTCGAAACTTCCATGTCTCCCCTCAAACGTTCTACCTCAGCAACTCATGAGGATGGTACTATCTTGATGAAATGTAGTAAAGAGGACAGATGGAAGAATTAGTTATAGCCAGAAAGAAGACTACCTCATTCTGAGTCATGAGGATAGATTGTGTGAAGATTGAGACTTTTTGAGTTGTGGGGTAGAGGAATTGAAGAAGGTCTCATCAGACAGCCTTGATCTCTTCAGGAAAGTAGGAAGCAAGGTCATCTCCTATGAGAGAGTGTTGTCAGGGTGGAGCTGAGAGTTTGACAAAACTGGAAATCTAAAATAGTCGCAATGATGAAGGTGATAGATATTAAACCAGTGTTCTGAAGTAGCGCTGGGCTCACATAGACCTCAGTTGTTGCCTTGAAGGTTTTAAAACAAGGGAATGAGTAATATTCTCTCCAATCTCTGTGGCTTAAGTTTGTCCCCACCCAGAACATCTCTCTGGGAATGTAGGAATCTGACTCAGTTTAGCTTTTACCAGGGTTATTCAACTCTTCCCATAATCAATCAAGGCTACCAAGGCATTTGGATGTAAAGCAAGTTTATAAGGCATGTAAAAACAACAAATTAGGGGATTTATATCTAAGTCTCACGAGTAAGGGAATAGTTATTACTTGTTCCTTAAGGAAACCAAATGTCATGAAAAGAGGAAAAGCAGGTTTAGGAGGAGTCAAGGAGTGGGAGAGATTGAAAGGCCAGTTCAGAGCTCAGGATATTGGAGGTGGAGCAATTTTGGAGTCTAAGGTAATTCTAGTGGCTACACTCAGAGAATCTGGATTTAAATCTTATTTCTCAAATTTGTTTGTTTGACCTTGAACAAAACTTCCCACCTCTCTGGGTCTTAGTTTCTTCTTCTGTAAAAATATATTCATTTTGTTCCATTTTCTTCTCTCTATATATGTATATATAACTTTGTATGTCTCCAGATATTTCTTTAAATTCCTCATAACATTAGTTCTTATGGTACAATAATGCACTATTAAATTCACAGACAATAATATATTCAGAAATTTGTTTCCAATTCTATTTTTTTATTTTTGCCATTACAGTGCTAACTTCCTTGGTTCACAGTTCCAGAAATGGGACCAATCAATCAAAAGGTATGAGCATTTTTATAAGACTTATTACATAATTCTAGAAATGTAATAGTGTGTATGCTTCAATCACAGCTGTTCCCAGGATTTAATTTTGTCTCTTTTTATTGTTTTTTCCAATTGGTTGGGTTTTAGGTGATTCCTCAACTTTGTTTCAATTTGCATTTTCTAGTTATTAGAGGTTTTGAACATTTCTCATGCTGTTGATAATTTGTGTCTTAAGAACTACTTGTTCATATATTTTGACCACTTAACTCTCTAGGAGAATGGTTCTTATTCTCATAAATTTGTGTTTATTCCTTTTGTTGTTCATCCTTTGTTCTTGAAGAGGATCAATGACATCAGGAGGGTGATGTCTTGACTGCTTTTTAAAGTTTAGATGTCATACTTTTATCATCAATGTGTGATGCAAAGTGTTTTTCCCTCAATTTGTTTCTTTCCTGCTTATTTTTGGATACATTGATTTCTGTTGTGTGCAAACTTTTTATTTTTTATGTAATCAAATTAATACATTTTGTTTTATGATTTACTATTATGGCTTGTTAAGAATATGTCTCCTCTATGTAGTTATGAAAGACATTTCATTTCCTTGTCCTCTAGTTTCTTGTGGGTACATGTTTAAAAAATGTGCATTGTTATTACCACTGGAATTTGTTGTGCGTATGGTATGAGTTTATGATTTCTTCCTATTTTCCACCAAACTGCTATCCAATTTTTCCAACCATTTTTTTAAAATAATGAACACTTTCCTTAGTGTTTAGATTTGTTGAACCCCAGATTACCATGTGTCTGGTTCTAGCTAATTATTATATAGCTTCTTTCCCTGATCTTTTTTTTCTATTTCTTTTCTCGTAACAGTTAATTTTGATAGTTACAGCTTTAGAATACAATTTGAGATCTGGAAGTTTATGTCCCTTTTAAGTCTCCTTTTATGTTTTCATCATTTCCTTTGATATCCTTGATCCTTTGCTCTTCCATATAGATTTTGTCTTTTTTTTTTTTTAGTAACCTATGGAATGCAGAACCTATTGTGGTAATTACCAATCAGCAAAGTAAATAATTTACTGCTCTAAATCTTCTACAAACTTAATATTTTCTAACTTCATAATATGTCCCATAATGTGAATATCCTTTCCTTTTTCAATGAATGTATAAAACTTCCCTGAGTCATTATCACAAAGTTGTTGATTTTTTCTCCCTGGACATTTATCATCTTTTATTTTCAATGACTTACAAAATCCCTTATGTAGCAGGCACTCAATAATGTTTGTTGATTTGACTCAAATTGACTTTATTCACCCCTCTATAAATTCCTGCAAGACAGTATTGCTTATTTTATCTATCCTTTCTGAAACACATTGTGCTATCTCCTCAGTTTGTCACCATAAAAGAAGCTTGCACGTGCATTGTTGGGAGCAAAAAGTATTATGGTCTTAGTCATTTAAAAATTTCCTGCCAGTATGCATTTTTAGTTATTGACAATGATGTTCCCATAGAATATATTGCTCTTGTAAGAGCTTGGTCAGTTTTTTCCTTGATTTCACTTGTGATACAATCTATAAATAAAACCACTTAAAATTTTTTATACAGTTACTTGCAATATTTGATTACTTAAGGATGTAGACTGAGCAACTCTTTTAACACTGATGCTATGGAAACAGCAGGAAAGAGTTACTTTTTTTTCCCTTATCTTCATTATTTGGGACCAATGAAAAGTTTTTAAATGTCTCCTGAAGAATTTCTTTAATTTAAAATTTTTTTTAAAACTAAATGACCATTAACAATGACAAAGAATCAAATAACCCTGGAAAATAAAGGGCAAAATCATATAAATGTAATGTGAAGGTGACACTGTGGAGTCTGAAGGGGTCTGTGCTGCCTTCATTTCTCCTTCTCTACTAGAAAGGCAGTGGAATTGACACTCTCCCAGACCACAGCTATCTCTGCTTATTGGGCCAACTTGGAGGTGAGGCTTTCTGCTGCAGCTCTAACTGGAGGGTACAGCAGCTTCATTCTTCTGAGCCAAGCCCATGAGGGCCACAGCTCATTCTAGGGGAAATCCAAATGAGCTCAGTTCAAGTCCTAAGGGTCTACTTGCCAGGAAAGTTGTAGAATCATTCCTAGCTCTATACTGTATAGCTTTCATAGCCGTGGATGTCTTTTCCAGCCCAAACTGGAGGATTCTAGCTTATGTACTCCATGAAATAGAAGAAAACCTGGGCTGATCCCCCATGCACATTCTCATCACAAGTAAGGACTTGCCTGCAGACAATGGGAACAAACTACTTTATAAAAAGAGAATCAAACATAAGCTACCATAAGCAGTGGGGGACAGGGAAATAGGAAACATAGTTTTGTTCTGTTTTTTTCTTTTCAGCTCCAACTAAATGGATGAGAGCGAGGAGGAAGTGAAACTGAGAGAGGGTAGCCAGAGGGCATTCAAGCATGGCGCTCACTGCTCGGACAGTCACTGTTGCTACCACTTATAATGGCTGAAGTTTCTACCCCCACTGCACACTTGATACTATCACTCCATCCCTTTGTCACAACCCTCTCTGGCCATGTTCTCCGTCCCTTTGTTGCTCTACATATTGCTTCAGATTGTGTAATCTCTCTCCCGTATGCCAGCTCTGCTTGTATTTCAAGCAGGGGTGAGTCGGTAAATGTTTAACAACCAGTTCTCAAAAAAAAAAAATTACTTACAAGCACAATTTCAAGTTCAATCTTCATTATTGACATTTTCTTAAGTTTAGACAGGCAGTAAAACAGCAAATCAAGCCCTGATTTGTATTCCTGATTTCCAAAGTATAAATGCTTACACTGAAAATTTTAACAATAAAACAGATATTTTAACAAATAATACAGGCTGGCTCCATCAAAGTCCTGTTGTCAGGCCTCAAAACATACAGTCTTAAATCCTGTGGGATGTTATCTCCATCTTCTCCAGCTTAAGAAAGTGTGAGAAAACTCCATTTCCCAGGCTCCTTTGCTATTAGTCCCTAGATACTCGCCTTTGGTTCTTCTCCTCTGACATACAGGGAGTACATATAAGACACTTTTTTAAAAAATTTTTTTAGGCACTTGGAGTGAAGTGACTTGCCCAGGGTCACACAGCTAGTAAGTGTCAAGTGTGTGGTCTGAGGTCACATTTGAACTCAGGTCCTCCTGACTTCAGGGCTGGTGCTCTATCCACTGCGGCCACTTAGCTGCCTCTACAAATCCTATTCTTTCTAACTACCTGACAGGAACAGTCTCTCTTCTCTCTTTATTGCAGTATCCAAAGGTGATGGATTCATTCACTCATTGCAAGGACGCTGTAATGTAAACTGGGAAGTGCCAGAGAGTCACCTTCTATTCCCCTTGGAGCCTGTGACCCTGAGAAATAGGCTTGGGGTTAGGGTCCTGTTTTGCTTGTCTTTTTCAGCTCTATGCACAGGAAGTGGAGTCTCTAACCTGGAAGCATAGGCCATGAGAACCTTGGGGCCTATGATTCCAAGCCAGATTTTGTCAGCCCAGTAGGAAAGCCTTGAGAAGCCAGCCAGGGGCACTGGATGGAAGGGATAGGGTCAGGGGAGAGTCTTGGAACTTAGTGGAACTAATACTATGTAGGAACTGAGCTAAACTGTGAACCTAACCCTTCTCCCCTCCCCAAAGACCAAGGTGGTATGGAGGGGATTATGTCCCCAAGGTTTTAGAGGGATATATTTGTATATTTCTACTTGTTATTATACTTTCCAAGTATTCCTTTAGTATACTTTTGAAATATTCCTTTGTAAAAACTAGTATGTCTCTTAAGTGGTTAAATAGAACTGGGATGTTTAGTTCCCTAAAATCAGGAGTAACACAGTTGTTAGTGACTCGAGTCAATGGCAGAGAAGAGACACATCTGAACACTCTTAAAGGTACCAGAGAACCCAGAGAAGGGTGAAATATAACAAACCTGGCCTTTATGCAGTGGGTCCAGAGAATCACTGTTACATACATATTGGGTTGGGAAGTCCTGGTGAAAGGAGTCCCCCAAGCTGATGAATCACAAATCATTTGCCTATTTTTAAAAAAAATTCAGTATAGATTTGTTGAGCATATATTATATATCCAGCTACATGCTAGACTTTGTGTGCGTGTAGAAAGAATTATTAATATCATCCTGGCCTAAACAAACAAACAAACAAACAAAAAACCCTTGCAATCTAGTTGAGGAGTTAAGATACTAGTAAAAGTTAGACAATAGAAGCTAAAAATGCAAGAATTGTTATAATTTATAGGTTATATAAATAGTTAACAATGGGGTAAATAGTTAAGTACCATAGGAATTCAGAGGAGAGTGGGATTTTTAGGGACTGAGATGGTTAGTTCCCAAAATATTTTTTGCAGGCAATGCCACTAATATCATTATTATTCCAATTCCTGCCAGGATGAAGATAAGAGAGAAGTACTTTTTTCCTTTGACCTCACAAGGAAATGTTGCTAGGCTCCTGCTCTTCTCAGTGGGGAGAATCATGTCTGTTCAGCAGTAGGAGCTGCTTGGATGCTGGACGCTGCAGCTGATAGGTAATTTCCAAGAGCTCTTGTTTTAATTTTCTCTTTGCTGTGATGGGAGTTTGTTTTGCTTTGGCAGTTTGTAGAACTAAAGAAGATAACAAGCATTGTATGAAGCCATCCAAACTGATCAACCCAGAAGGGTAGATGTACAAGGGTACATTCTAGAGCCACAAGGCATTTTTAGAAATCATCTAGTCCCATCCCTTCATCTACAGAGTAGGCAACTGAGGCACAGAAAGGCAGAATGATGGAGAAGATCTGAACCTGGGCTTTGTGACTCCAAGTCTATGGCTCAACCTTTAAAATATTTAGACTGGTTCTTGTTTATCCTCCTCCTCCTCTGTCTTTTGACATGGTAGGGCAAATAAGGTCCAGTTAAGACAGGGCTCACCAGAGCCTCACCTCTAGAAAAGTATTATCAATTTACATGTGAGTAAGTCCCTGTGGAAGATGGGGGCCCACTAGAGAGGAAAGGAGAGTTCTTAGCCCTGTTCAGGTGTGAGTCCTATATGTTTTTTGTGGGGTGAAACAAAGCCTGTCCTATAGTCTGTGTTTTAATTACCTGGGTGCTTACAGTGGAGCTAGGGGTGGGGTAGGTTTCTGTGTGGTGTAAAGAATGAGACAGAAGCCTAATCTTAGTGTTTCTAGGGAAAACCTCGGGTGTGGGCAAAATGAGCCAAAGCCTACTATCTTAAGGGAAACCTTAAGTAAGGGCAAAAGCCAGAGAGAATGATTTATGTGAGGCCTCCGATATTGAACCTAGACATTTGGTTCTGGGATATATTTTGCCCCCATTTTATAGATGAAGACCTTAATGCTGAGACTTTGTGACTTACCATGGTCATCTCCTCCACTGCCTCCTTCATTTGATAAATTCAAAGTTCACCTCATTTTTGTGAGATAATTTCCTTGTTTTTCTTTCTCCCTCTCTCAGTACATTCCTTTCCCTCACCCTTCCATTCTTCTTTTGAAATCATCTAAACATAATAGGATCTCACCCAGGCCCTCTATGACTCCTGGTGACAATAAATTTCTAAGGGGTTACATGTATCATTTGCTTGTGTAAGAATGTAAACAGTTAAACTTTGTTTAATCCCTTATGATTTCTCAGTCATGTTTTTTGTGCTTTTTTTGACTCCTGTATTTGTATGTTAAATTTTCTACTCAGCTCTGGTTTTTTCATTAGAAATTCCTGTGAAGCCTCTGTTTTATGATAGGGCCATTCTCCCCCCCCCCCACCCCTACCCCACCCCCATACCCTGCTCAGTTTTGCTGGGTAGGTTCTTCTTGGTTGTAAGCCTAGATCCTTTATCTTCTGGAATATTATATTTCAAATTCTCTGCTCCTTTATAGCTGCGGCTGCATAATCTTGTGTGATCCTGACTGTGGCTCCTTGGCACTTGAATTCTTTCTTTTTGGCTACATACAGTACTTTTTTTCCTTTGACCTGGGAGCTCTGGATTTGGATATAATATTGATGGAAGTTTTCATTTTGAGGCTTCTTTCAGGAGGTAGCCAGTGGATTTTTTCAATTTCTACTTTACCTTCTGGTTCTAATATATCTGGGCAGTTTTCTTTTATGTTTTCTTGAAATATGATATGTGAAGTCTTTTTTTTTTTTTCATAGCTTTCAGGTAGTCCAGTGATTCTTAAATGATCTCTCCTTGATCTGTTTCCCAGGTCAGTTGTTTTTCTCATGAGGTAGTTCACATTTTTTTCATACTTTTGACTTTGTTTTTTATTATTTCTTGATGTCTTATGGAGTCATTAGTTTCAATTTAGCTAATCCTAATTTTCAAGGAGTTATTTTCTTCCATAATATTTTGTACCTCTTTTTCCAAGTTGTTAATTCTCTTTTCATATCTTCTCTAGCTCTTGCTTCTTTTCCCATATTTTCCTGTACCACTCTCATTTTTTCAAAAAAATATTTTTTAGCTGTTTTTTAAACTCTTGCTTTAACTCTTCTAGGAATTCTTGTTGGATTTATGTTCAAGATGCATTTTTCTCTGAGGCTTTGCTTGTAGATATTTGTAAGTAAATTTCTTGAGCTTCCCTGTTGTCATAATAGCTCTTTATTTTTTTTTTCACTTAGTAGTATTTTATTTTTCCCAATTACATGTAAAGATAGTTTTCAACATCCATTTTTGTAAGATTTTGAGTTCCAAGTTTTTCTCTCTTCCTTCCTTCCCTCACTCCTCCCCAAGACAGCAAGCAATCAGATATAGGTTATACATGTACAATCATCTTAAACATATTTCCACATTAGTCATGTTGTGAAAGAAGAATCAGAACAAAAGGGAAAAATCATGAGAAAGAGAAAAACAACAAAAAAGTGAAAATAGTAAGCTTCAATCTGAATTCAGACTCCATAGTTCTTTCTCTGGATGTGGATAGCATTTTCCATCACAAATCTTTTGGATTTGTCTTGGATGATTGTATTGCTGAGAAAAGTTGAGTCTATCATAGCTGATCATTGCATAACATTGCTGCTGCTATGTACAATGTTCTCCTGGTTCTGCTCACTTCACTCAGCATCAGGTCATGTAAGTCTTTCCAGTTTTTTCTGAAATCTTCCTGCTCATTATTTCTTATAGCACAATAGTATTTCATGACATTCATATGTCACAACTTGTACAGCCATTCCCCAATTGATGGGCATCCCCACAATTTCCAATTCTTTGCCACCACAAAAAGAACTGCTATAAATAATAGCTCTTTATGGTGAGGTTCTTTTTTTATTTGCTCATTCTTTCAGTATACTTCTTGACTTTGGGTTTTATATTAGCACTGGGCTCTGTGTAATTCTGACAGAGTGCAGGGAGAGATGTCTGGTCTGAGTTTCTGTCCCTTTATGTCTTCCTGCTGCTTTGATAGCTCTATTTGGGTTCCACACACTTTTGGTGCTCACAAAGTGATGTGATCCAGGGTGAGGTCTATTTAGCTCTGCAAGTTCCTGATCCAGGTTTGGGTCTGTCCTTGGTTGGAAGTTTCAGTAGGTTTAGTCATTGTTAGCCTGCTGGGAGGCTCTGCAGGTTTGGAGTGACAGAACTGCCTACTGCCCTTTAATCTAAGACTTCTGCCCTGGTTATTCCACTGCAGGCTTAGACACTAGGTTAAAAAGGCTAGAACTGAATCACTCCTCTGCTCTTGGGAACAAAGCTATATAGCTACATTTCTGGAACTTGTTCCTTGCCTGGTTCACAGCCAGAGTCACACTTGAGACCACTCTTCTCTGCCCTGGTTCTGTGACTTGGAACTGTGACTCCCAAGTAGCAATAGTACCGCTCCATGCTACCTGTTCCTGTGCCCACTGCTAGTTTGCGAATCCTCTGGGATCTCTTTCTGACTTGGTGCTTCCTCCCCTGGTGCCCTGTCTTTTTTTTTTTTTAACTTAATAGTATTTTATTTTTTCTAATTACACATAAAGATAGTTTTCAACATCCATTTTTGTAAGATTTTGAGTTTCAAATTTTTCTTCCTTCTTCCCTTCCCTCCCCCTTCCCCAAGACAGCAAGCAATCTGATATAGGTTATACATGTAAAATCATGTTAAACATATTTCCACATTAGTCAAGTTGTGAAAAAAGAATCAGAACCAAAGGGAAAAAACACAAGAAGGAAAAAAAACAAGAAACAAAAAAAGTGAAAATAGTATGCTTCAATCTGCACTCAGACTCCATAGTTCTTTCTCTGGATGTGGATAGCATTTTCCATCATGAGTCTTTTAGAATTGTCTTGAATGATTGTATTGCTAAGAAGAGCTAAGTCTATCATAGTTGATTATTGTACAATGTTGCTGTGTACAATGTTCTCCTGGTTCTGCTCACTTCACTCAGCATCAGTTCATTCAAGTCTTTCCAGGTTTTTCTTAAATCTACCTGCTCATCATTTCTTATAGCACAATAGTATTCCATTCCATTCATGTACCACAACTTGTTCAGCCGTTCCCCAATTGATGTGCATCCCCTCAATTTGCAATTCTTTGCCACTGCAAAAAGAGCTGCTATAAATATTTTTGTACATGTGGGTCCTTTACCCATTTGTTTGATCTCTTTGGGATACAGACCTAGTAGTGGTATTGCTGGATGAAAGGGATAGTTTATAGCCCTTTGGGCATAGTTCCAAATTGCTGTCCAGAATGGTTGGATCAGTTCAATAACTCCACCTGGCGCCGTGTCTTGACCTCCTTTCAGTTCCTGGGTGCTGGAATGCTTTGTGCTGGCTCCTGGCCAGTCCCCTGTCCCCAGTGTCTGCAGACTTCTCTATTGGTCTCTTAAGTTTCCCTGGTCTGAAAAAAAAATGACTTTTTCTTGGCTTTCTTGATCAGAATGCAATCTGGTGCATTTTTTTTAGATCCTCATGGAGAAAGAATAGAGGGGAGCTAGGCTCAACTGTTTCTTAATCTTCCATCTTGACTCTCATCCCCTCGGCTACTCTCCAGGGAATCATCAAAGGGATAACCTGGGTTTGTGCTTAACTGCCTCCTCCAAATCCAGGCCCTTATTTCTGTTGCTAACCTCTCTTTTAAAGGCAGATCCCAAGGGTGTGAACTCATTAGCAGCGAAGTGTAACTAATCAATCCCTACTGCTACCATAACTTTGAAGCAAAGAATTTGAGTCTAGGACAATGCGCCCCATGCTGAACATAATTTTTTTAACCATTGAAATTTTTTCTTATGGTAATGTAGATGGAGACCTTTTTTTTCCCCTCCCCTTTCAAAATGAGCAGTCTGGAGAAAATGGTAGATTTTTCACGAGACTTGATGAATACACCATTCAGATATTCCTCTTCTACCTAATATTTTCAAATATCACATATTTTTTTAAAAAAAGAATAGTGTAAAACTTCATCTTCTTCTCAATATTAAATATGTAGGTGCCTTTGCCCAAAGATCTGTAGCCATTTTACCCTTCAGCATCCTGAGAATGATAAGACCTTATGTTAAAGTATAAAAATAACTGATAGGATTGGATCCTGTGCTCCTTATAGCTTGAATGGTTCTGCACATAGCTCTCTAAAGCCTTATTGGCTGTATTTACACAGCCACCCACTATCGAGCTGCCCTAAGGCTATTATCTGACAACCATCTCTAAGGGCTTTGCCAAACGAGTTTGATTTAAATGAGACTTTCAATGGCATACTACCAGGAAACTGAGGGTCATTGCTATAGATCACAGAATGTCAATTACTCCACCAATAACTGGTTTTCTAATCCAAAGAAATTCTGCTTCCATTTATGTTTTTGTATTTTGTATATCTGGTTATAGAATTATTTATTTTGTTAATTCAGAATGTATACTTATGTTTCTGCCCTATAAACCACATGTAAACATAAACACATAAGAGCATAGCATGGTCATGTAAAAGCAGTGTCAGAAATGTTAAACCTCAGATTGAGCTGGGGCTGATGATGGAAGCTAAAGGCGATAAAAAGGTCTTTAAAAAAAACTATACTGGGAGGGCAAAGAGGATCCAAGAAGATATCAAAGAAAGGATAGGACCTTTACTTGGGAGAGATGAGAAACAGATAACAAGGACAAAGGAGAGAAGACAGAGCTACTTCATTTTTATTTTGTGTTGGTTTTCTCCGTGGTCTTTACACTGGAAATGATAGAATGAAAATGACTGACACGCTGTTGATATCCAAGATGAGAAAGTAGATAGTGTAACTAGAGTCTGGACATGCGGACTAGGTCAGGTTCCCAGAACAAGGTAACTGCTCTACCTCAAAGTTTTAGGGTTCACTTCAAGGGGCTGGGGAGTGTCTTTTCCAAGAGGATCAGCTCCAGCTCCCAATCTGGCAAATTTGGTATGTTTTGCCCAATATTCGTTGCCAGTTACAGTTAGAATCTTCCCTATATCATAACTGACCCAGTGTTTTAACATTCCAGCATTATTTAGCCAATTAATATCAATTAGCTTTGACCAAAGGGGTGTTTATTGAGAAGATATACCAAGAACAAAAATATAAACATATGCTCCCAAACCAGGGTGGCAGTCTTGGTCTCTGAAGAGAGTGGACTTCAGATTTAAATTAGTCATTTTCAAGCATTTACCTCACCAAGTTCACTTCCCAAGGCAGCACAGTTATTGCTAATTGCTCCCTTACTCCGTGACATTTTGTCTGCTATCGGTCAGCTGGATCAAGGAGGTCACTGTCACCTCACCAGCCACGACTACAGTGTGTTCTTAGTGCAAGGCTCCCCCAGGGTAGGTGCAATGGCTGACAAGTTAGTCCTAGCTGGGCCATTGTTGGGTTTATGCTTTAAAATGAGGGGACCACCAAGGGGTCCTGGATGAGTCAAGGCAAACAAGCCTTTGAATACTCTCCAAAAAGATCATGATGGCAACAAGCAGGTAATAGTGTATCAATCATCCTTTAATATGGCACAGATAGTACAGAGGCAGATGGCATGGGGATGTCGGGGGGAATGGGGTTGGAGGTAGACAGCGTGGGAAATAGATGTGGAACTAAAGGGGTCACATAGAGTCATTTACATAATTATGGATCAGAGTTGGGAGCACTGGGGCATCATGGTCCTATAGCAGTGCCCGAGGGGCAGGGCTTTAGGGTCCATTCTAGTGTGTGTGTGGGGAGGGACAGAATATGTCATATCTGTGCCACCTTGAGGTCACCTCATTAACATATTGGTGTCATCTAAGAGTTATCAAGACTACCTAAGGATGGCTTCTTTAACTTAAGGTTTTTCTTCTTTTATTGTGTATATTTGGTACTTATCTGCAATTTGCAGACCATTTTATTGGTGCCTAGCTAGCTTTTCTTAATTTAGCACGTAGTATCTGGATGTAGCCTTAATTTATTTAGGAGGCAGTTTGAGCAAGTATTTTCTATGTTTCTCCATACACTCTTAGTTGCTATTTCCTATTTATTGTTACCTTACACTGACTACCTATATACTTACTATATTACTGGTGCGGTGGTTGTGGGGACCATTTCAACACAATTGGAAAACTCTGGCATGGACTCCGTTTCCTGGACCTTTGGTGGCTACCTCTTTAAGCAGGTCACTGGTGCCACACCAAACTCAGCTGATGGCAGATTCTAGTATAGACTTCTGATCTTTTGAAGCTTGCAAGGTCACAGCCATCTTCATTAGTTCTTCATCTAAGAGCAGGAAAGAAGAAACACAGCAGCAGGACCTTGTGTTTGGATAGGGATATGAAGGCTCAAGGCCTCTCTCCCCTTCTGGAGACTTAATAGCATGCCTTTCCTTGCCTGTCACCAGAAAAAAGAGGGTGATAGTACTGTTTGTGTGCATAGCCACTTCCAGTTCAGCAGTCAATCAAAAAGACCCCTCTGTCAAACAATAAGTGGACAGAAAACAGTCAGAAAATACCTGTGCATGCTCTAAAGATCACTGGTGGCGGGGGGGGATTAAATCAGGCAGAGAGCTCTTCACATGCTCATAAGGACTGGGTTATCATTGGCCACTCTCCCATTACAATCACGAGAAAATACTGAGATATCCCCAACGAATTCAAGTCATCTGGTCCAGATAAAGTACATCCTTGGCCCCTAAAAGAACTAGCAAAGGCACCATGAGCAATATTTGAAAGATCATGAAAAACAGGAGAGATACGACAAGACTGGAGAATGGCAAATGTGATCTGATTTTCAAAAAAAAAGAAAGAAAAAAGAGTCTTCAGACTTTATGCCAGCAAACTTCAATTAGATTATTAGATGACTAGGAACATTCTAGAAAGGGCATATTAAGAGATGGTAGGTGAACATTCAGAAAGAGAAGCAGTGATCACAGGGTGCCAGCATGGCTTCATCAGGAACAGAGCATGCTGGACTAACTCTGTGGGTGTGTGTGTTTGTGTGTGTATGTGTCTGTGTGTGTGTGTGTCTGTGTCTATGTCTCTGTGTGTGTGTAGGATTATTGAAAATGCTGTGAGTAGAATTCACCTATAGTGCAGGAGAGTTCAAATTAAAAACAACAGATCACACAACAGGGGTATTGTGTATAATGGTTAATGAGATAAATGTTGTAAAGCATTCTGAAAACCTTAATGTACTATATAAATGACAATTATTATTATTTAGGTGGCATAGTGCCTGGAATTGGGAAGACCTGAGTTCAAATATGACCTCAGACATTTACTGGCTATGTGACCCTGGGCAAGTCACTTAATACTATTTGCCTCAGTTTCCTCATCTGTCAAATGAGCTGGTGAAGGAAATGGCAAACCTCTCTAGTATCTTTGCCAAGAAAACCCCAAATAGAGTCACAAACAGTCAGACACAACTGAAACTACTGACCAACAAAAATTAGCCTACAGTCAGCAAGCCTCCAGTCTGGTGATGACTTCATTCCCCAAGACTTCTACTATACTTCTGCTGATCTCAAGTAATATTTATAGAGCAATACAGGGGTGTGCTGGTAAATGTTTAACAACCAGGATCTCTTGGGAAAAAATGTATGCACACATTTTTAAGTTTAATCTGTATTATTAACACTGTCTTAAATCTAGACAATCAACAAAATAATAAAGCCAAGTTGTAATTTGTAGCAATTACAATTTCTTGGATACAAAAGCTCACAATGAAAATTTAACTATGGGTCTGGATGGTTAGAATTGACTGTAGCATGCTATTGCTATTCACAAAAGGAGAAGGGGAACAGTTGCTAGTAGGGGCAGTCTCAGTGTGAGGCTTCCATGCTTATGGTAAGCAGCACACAGGGGTGGTGGGGATGGGGGTGGTAATCTATGCTCTAGTCAAAACCCCTCGGAGCTTAAAATTATGTAGAGTTTTAGACAAAGGGTGGTATGATACCAATTGGAAAGTATCCTGTCTTCTATAGGACCAGTAACGTGAGATTATTCTCTAAATTGTCTAATAAGGAGTGAAGAATGAGGGATAAAGACATAAGGAATGTAACCCTAATTGTACCAATCAAGCAAGAGGCTGAAGGGAGTTAATATCCAATCTCTGGCTTTATTAGCCTTGGCATACCTGCATCTTAGGGGCTTGGGTGCCATACCAGTCAAACCAGTTTTCCCTGGTTGATGTTACCTATCTATCATAGTGGTAGTCAAGTACTTTGCTAAAGCCACTGAGGCTGATGACCTACATCCATCCTAGTCCTTTACCTGCCCAGAGGGTTTTCCCAAGTTCAGCTCAGGATTCTGACCACTCAGAAGAGGAGGACACATTCTCACCCTTATTAACTCTTTTTTTTTTTGGTTGGGCAGTGGGGGTTAAGTGACTTGCCCAGGGTCACACAGCTAGTAAGGGTTATGTGTCTGAGGCCAGATCTGAACTCAGGTCCTCCTGAATCCAGGGTTGGTGCTCTATCCACTGATCCACCTAGCTGCCCCCCTTATTAACTCTTTACCCCCTCCCAGGCTACTTCCCAGGCATCTTCACACCATGCTGCCACCACTCTAAGCATCCCCATCTCCTTCCCACAAGAACCTTGGCCTTCATCCCTGGAACCACTCTAGAATATGTTAGTCAACACCAAATAGGCTCTTTCTGGTAGTGTCTCGTTTCGTGGGTGACTGCCTTTTGCCAAGTCTGCTTCTGATATTGTAACTGCCCTGGTAGCCACTGCACTGTTGCTTAGATGCCCAGGAAGGGGAAGATACCATTTGCCTTTCAAGTTCCCAAGGGCCTTGTAGACACAAATTGGAGGAGTACCTTCATCCCAAGTAGAGATTTTTCTAGGAGGCCATGAGCTCATGGCTCGAGGCCTGGGATGTGAGTGAAGTACGCCATCTTAACGGCTCAGAGAGTCTTCTTTATATGTCAAAGCCTGAAGGAAGAGGAGGGCTGAGGGACAGGGGTCTCCCTTGTAGTATATGTATGGAGTTCTGGCTCAGTTGTCATTGAACAGTAAAAACCTTTGAATCATCCTGGTCAATAGGAAGCAGTCAGAAGATTTGAATGGAGAGAAGAGGTACCAAGGGAGGACTCCATCATGCTTGCTTGAAGCAGGACCACTCTAAGCTCTCATGTACTTGGCTGGAAAGTTGACTGAGCAAGTTCTAGGAGGATTGTCCTAGAGGAATGATACAGCGAGATTTTAATTATGTCATTTAATTTTTCCAACTAACAAAAATTTATTTTCTCTCCTTCTATCTGGAGGAGAAAAAAGAAAACTAAAACCATTATAACAAACACACACACATATATGCATACACATACATAGAGACATGTATGCATATATATGTATGTGTATGTAGTCAAGCAAAACAAATTCTCACATTGACCATGTCACAAAAATATATGTCTCATTCTGCACCCTGAGTCCATAACCTACTAACAGGAAGTGGGTAGCATGTTTCAACATGGGTGCTCTGGAATCGTGATTAGTCATTGAATTGATCAGAGTTCTTAAGTTTTTCAAAGTTGCTTGTCTTTTACAATGTTGTTGCTATTTAATAGAGTGTTCCCCTGATTCTGCTCAGTCCATGAAAATTTTCTCAGGTTGCTCTGAAATCATCCCCTTCATAATTTCTTATAGAACGATGGTATTCCATTATATTCATATACTATAATTTGTTCAGCCATTCCCAAGTTGATGGTGCCCCTTCTGTTTCCAATTATTTTCCACCATGAAAAAAGTTCTACTCTAAATATTTTTATACATACGAGTCCTTTTCTTCTTTCTTTGATCTCTTTGGGGTAGAGACCTAGTAATCATATCATCAGATCAAAGGGTATTCACAATTTATTAACCTTTACACACATCTACCAACAACATGCTATTTGTTATGTTTGTTTTCCTGAAACCCCTCCAATGTTTGTTAGAGAAAGAAAGAATAACATCTCAGAGAGAAAGGTACTGATTTGGTAGAAATGGCTGCAGTGTATTGCTTCCTAGCATCTAATTAGAAAGTGACTATTTTCAATACTTTGAAGGTTATTGCTGGGAGCTGAGAAGCCACTATAGGTGAAAAGCTTACACAAGTAAAAACCAGCTAACTATAGGTTCTGCTGTTATTCCAGGGAGCTGATCTGATTGGAGGTAAGGTCTGCTATTTGAAAGAGCTGATTGGAGGAAAGGAGATTTCTCTGCTGAGACCCCTTTGCTCTTTAGCTCCATTTATAGTTAGATAGAGGTGGGAAGACTCAATGGCTTGCCTACATTGCCCTTACTGCCCCATATGCCTCAAGACAGGAAAATCCTACAAAACCTATAAAGAGGCTGAGAATAGCATTGCAGATCCCAGGATTTAAGGGAAAGAGTGTCACACTGCCCCAGTGTCTAGCTAAGAGAGCAGACCTGAGACACTTTGCAGACACCAGGCTTAAGGATGCTATTAGTTAAAAGAACTTAATACTACTTCATCAGTCCAAAAGTAAGAGACTACTCCAGTTACTCGACTGCTTTGCCCAGCAAGAGTGTAGGATTCGAAGAGGAGCAGTCTTGCCCAGAAAGAAATGTGAGAAGCAAGATGTTTCCTAAATAGAACATCACCGACAGTCCCGAGTTGTGAATTACATTGAGCACATGAATTTCCCTACTTATGTGCCTTTGAGGTTTGTGTAAGATTGGACACTACACTAGTAGTGGTGACCCAGATTAATGGGTAAATTGTTATGTTTTATGTATGTTATATTTTATATTCCTGCTTTTACCTTTCATTTAGTAAATGTTATGTTATAATAATTATTGCTTTTGTCTTCTCATTTAATAAAGGTTTTATGTTTAACAATTAATGATGTCATTGTGATTGATTTATGTAAGTGGGAAGCATACTGGTAGTGACACAGGAGCTACAATTTTGAGTATAAATGTGCATTTTCCTCATAACAGGATTATTCCTAGAATCCTGAGAATGAGTTGTAGCCACATGGCTGCCTACAGGCAACCTTTGATCTGGGAAAATCTCTCAGACCTGCCATTGTGAAGGCAGTTTGGGGGTGAGTTAGATAACCCAAAGAGAGAGAAAGAGGGTTGGGAATCATGTCAGATGTCATGCCCTCTATAGGGCCATGGATATAAGTATGAAAGGATGTATCTCACACACACCTCACACATTCCTCACATATATGTATATATTTTATGTGTGTGAGTATATATGAATTATATACGCAGGGACACACATAAATACATGTATATATGTATGTATATGTATATATGTATGTACAAACACACATACATTTTTACTAGTGAAGGTTAAGAAAAGACCTAAGTGTTCTTTTCTGAGTTCAAGTCATCAGACTCAGATAAACTACAATCCCAGAGAATTGAAAGAACGATGCCACTGACATATGATCTTTGAAAGAATAAATCCTGTATAGCAGCATCAAGTTATCTACAACTGAAGGTGTTCAGAAATTGGAATGAGCATAATATTCTAGTTGAATCCATGAGTAGGAGCCGCCCGAGGTAGAAGGAAAGGTCTCTGCTTTAGCTTTGGCCAGGTTTTCTTCATCCCTGCCTGCCCATCCATTCTCCCCCAACTCCTTTGCTTTTTTGGCCAAATGAGAATCTTGTGAGCTTTGAAAGATCTGCTGGATTTGGGATTTCCCATTTTCTCATCAGTATCCCAGCAGTAACTGGTGACTGTTTGCATCAGCTGCCAAACAAACGCATACAGCTTCACCAGGTATAAGGGGAAGCTTCTTGAGCACCCTATGGATGGGAAAAAAAAAAGAATTTCTGGCAACCAGGCCCTGTGAGTTAACCTTCTGCTGCATGTGCTTTCTAAGCTTCAAGCCACTTACTCCTGGGCTCTGGGAAAGTCTTACAGACCTTTGGGAGGATGTTTTATACCTACCGTTATTACCATACTATCTTTGCAAATGCCCCTTCTCAAAGGCATGTAAGATTGGCCTACTAAAGTGATTTTCAGTTGATAATCTGCAGAAACAAACTTCATGTTGCCTATAAATGTAGTATTAAGGGTATTTTCTGATTAAAATGTTTCTTGTATTACTATTATTTCATCTGTCAGATTTTCAAATTAACTGGTTGGCAACACTGGTCAGTCATTCAATAGGGTGTCTGTGAGAGTGTAGCTACCAGTGTGGCCATGATAGAAGAGAAGAAAATCATGTCTAAAGAGACTCTTTCAGTACAAAGGTTGGTTTACAGTTCAACATTGTTTTAAAAAAAAATGAATCATGATGAAATCTCTAGCCAGTTAGAACAAGTTTCTAGTCTACAGTCACCACATCATTAAATGGCTTTCTAAGATATTTTAGCCTAAAGCCTGTGATTCAAATTGATTGGTTGGCCATCTGGTCCTTTACTGTAAAATGGTTGAGGTCACTTGCTTATGTAAATATAAATCCACCTCACCTTGATTGGTGAGTTGTTGTCCTTCATTCTCGAATAGGACCAAAATGACACCACTACGTTGGGGTCAAGGTACAATGTGTCTGACTGCGGCTGATCAGAACAATATGAGCTCAGAAGATTCTGCCACAGGTTGGAAACAAATAGTTCATGTGAATATTCAGAGTGGAGATGTCTCTATATTTGCATATCTCATGTTTCCTTTGAGCTACTGCAATTTTGCTTTGCTCATACAGCATAGCCCCTTCTTCGATGTTGTGTGCTTGTGAAACTTGGACAGCATACCAGTACGATGCCAGGAAACCCCACCCTGATACTACATAGGTACATTTAATGTAATAGTCATTGAAAATCCAAAACTTAAACAAATAAAAGAAGCCGATCATAAGATGGTAAACTAACTGTAAAAGATGTGGTCATAGCATGGGGACCTGGGAAAGTTGAAGTACAGATAGAAACAAGTGCCACAAAGGAAAAGTGGACAGCTCTGGGAGTGAGGCTGCTTGGGCTGATGGTACATGAGGTGTGTCAGGACAGAACTAAAGTTGCTGAAATGCTCCATACTAGGGAGCCCAAAGTGGTAATCCCGAATATCCTTTTTCTTTATAGTTCCTGGGAACCTGAAATCTTTTTTCATGGACATGTTTCATAGAGTCTGTTTAGCTTTCAATTGTTTTTGTACTTCTATTCTTCTTTTTGTGTGTGTGTGTGTGAGGCAATTGGGGTTAAGTGACTTGCCCAGGGTCACACAGCTAGTAAGTGTCAAGTGTCTGATCTGAGATTGAATTTGAACTCAGGTTCTCCTGACTCTAGGGCCAGTGCTCCATTCACTGCGCCACCTAGCGGCCCCTTTTTTGTACTTCTCATAATTTAGCTTGTTATCTTTATTTATTTTTTAAAATGTATTTACTTTTCATTTTCAACATTCACTTTTATAAGATTTCGAGTTCTAAATTTATCCCCCTCTCTCCCCTACCTCCCTCTCCAAGACATCAAGCAATCTGATATAGGCTATACATGTACAATCATAATAAACGTATTTCCACATTGGTCATGTTGTTAAAGAAGAATCAGAACAATAGGAAAAAACCATGAGAAAGAAAAGGAAAAGAGAGAAAATAGTATGCTTCAATCTGCATTCAGACTCCATAGTTCTGTCTTTGGATGTGAGTATCAATTCCCATCAGGAATCTTTTGTAATTGTCTTAGATCATTGCATTGCTGAGAAGAGTTAAGTCTATCAAAGTTGGTCATTGCACAATGTTGTTATTACTTTATACAATGTTCTCTCGGTTCTGCTCACTTCATTCAGCATCAGTCCATGTAAGTCTTTCCAGGTTTTTCTGAAATCTGCCTGCTCATCATTTCTCTTTTTAAAATTAATTTATTAGTTTTCAATATTCACTTCCACAAGATTTTGAGTTCCAAATTTTCTCCCTATCTCTCCCCTCCCCCCACCCAAGATGGCATGCAATTTGATATAGACCCTACATATACATTCATATTGAACCTATGTTCACATTAGTCATGTTGTAAAGAAGAATTAAAACTAATGGAGCAATCATGAGAAAGAAGGAACAAACAAAAAAAAGAAAGAAAAAAGAGAGAGAGCAAATAATATGCTTTGATCTGCATTTAGACTCCATAGTTCTTTTTCTGGATGTGGACAGCATTTTCCATCATAAGTCCTTTGGAGTTGTCTTGGATCCTTGCATTGCTAAGAAGAAATGAATCTATCAGAGTTAGTCATTGCACATTGTGGCTGTTACTGTGTACAATGTTCTTCTGGTTCTGCTCACTTCACTCTGCATCAGTTCA